GAAAAATTTCTTCCTTATATATAATCTAAAACTCCCCTCTTTCAGTTTAAATCCATTGCCCCGTGTCTTATCACTACATGCCCTTGTAAAAAGTTCCTCTCCAAGTCCCTTTCTTCCCTGCACCTGGACCCCCAATCCCACCCGCTCCCTTCATAGAAACACCTATGAGGCAATTTAGGGCTGGGGTCTGCAGGGAAAAGCAGCTCTGCTTATGAAACTGCCTTGCCCCTACAAGCTCGGGACCCGTACCACAGCACAGCTGGTTTTCTGCCTGACACAGATTCTTGTCCCAACACTTTCAGTCCCCAGGCATGGGAACGTGGCTGGAGCCACCACTCGGGTACCGCTTCCTAGTCCTGCGGTGTGAGCAAAGGCACTGGAGGTGCAGGAAGGAGGGGGCGGTATCGGTGCTGCCGGGCAGCCCGGGGCAATCGTGGGGAGGAGAAGGGCTGCGGTGCTGCCCTGCATTCCTTCCTGCATGGGCTGGTGGGCAAGACTGGCTGAGAAATGGAGTGGGTGGGTTACACCCTCCTCTACTTGGGGCTCTCCAGCTGCCGCCCTCTGCCCCAGCCAGTCGCTCTCTGAGGACTCTTGCTGGAAGGCTGGACCTTGATCAACTGCATTTTTAAAAGAGGGACTTGTCCTTAATCCGCTGGGATTAAAAAGGGACGCCGTTTTAGCTACTCCCCAGAATTTAGGTGGTGTAAACAAGAGCTTTGCAAACCTCAGGACCAACAACAATGTGTTGCTGTAAGCAAACGCGTGCACTCCGCCCTGGCTGGGGCCAGGCTGTGAGCCGCTTCACGCCGGAGTCTGAGACCTCGAACCCAGGGTCCCACTAACGCTGGTGGTTCTGGCTTCACCCAGCAGCGGGTACCTGCCCTGTGGGGTGCACAGGAGTTGCCTACCAAGGGTTGTGCCTGCTTCCTGCAGTCGTTACGTCCTCTCACTGGTAGAAAAGCGAAAAATGGGAGAGAGGGCAGAGAGGCTCAGACAACGGTTCATTGGGTTAATTTAAAAGTACATTCTTCAATAGGCTCAATGTGTTTCACAGCTTTTCTTCTGCCTGCCTCGCTTCCTCTTGTGGAATGGCCACCAAGGTCCCGTCTCCACTGGCAGGGGATGCCAGGGAGCTGTCTCTCAGTCACACTTGCTGCCAGTTCGGTGGGATGCCGACCGATGTCCGTGCTCCAGCCTGAGGCAGGCGGGCAGTGCTGCCCTGCCAGCAGTCAGCGAGACCTTGCTGACGGAGGACACGCTGCGGGCCAGGGGCTGCGTGGGGAACATAACTGTGTCACGGGGTGCCTCCAGGAGCTGCCAGATCTCCCCTGAGGTGGAGCTGCCCAGGTACTCCCAGGGCCGGCGCCCGCTGCTGTCCCGCACCTGCACCTGGCACCCCAGCTGCAGCACCAGCACC